ATTATTATTATTATTATTATTATTATATTATTACAGGGTTGATCTAGGGATTATGGGAAAGTGAGAATAATCATAATTCACTCGTGTCATTTGCATTAATTGTATAACGGTGGGTAATGTATAAGCTAAGAAAAACCGTACGCACACTTCACTGAAATTGGCAACAATTGCACACGAATGAGTGAGCTACCTACTTATCTGTGACATCCCCTTTCCAAGCAATCCAACACATTAGGCAACCTTTTTCATATGGGGGAAATTAGGAGCTTTTGGAGTGAATTATCGCACCATTAACACGGTTCTTCCCTTTCATTTAAAGTTTCGAGACTGGATTTTGCATAGGAGCCCTCTCCTAACTGCTTTTTTCATTAACGACGGCTTTGTGTTCAAACAATTTTGCCACAAATATTTTCAACAGAAGAATTATAGCTTTACTGAAAGAGACGTTTTCATTAATTTGGTATTAGTTTCGTTGTTACTGTACAATGATATATCCCATTGCCTAGATAAATCTATTTCCATTATCTGGATTAAACTTAGCCACGTTGCCACACGTAATTGACTTGTCTGGGTTACCTCCCGTACCAAAACCGATTCTGGAATCAGCACTAACGCAATTGGATTGCTCGTTACCAATGATACCGATCCTTGCATTGGATTGCCCAGTCTTGCCCTGTGAATTGAAGCCCTCTTTGTTGCAGTTACGCTGTAGGGATGCGTTTACACCAATCAACGACTTCCATTTATCCCGACCAAGTGAAATGGCGCGATACTGTCCGTCAGCGATTAGTGAGTAAAGAGAGTTTGCCTGTTTATGAATGAGTATAAAATTGGTCTGACTCCCAATCCTCATACCGAGGCAGATCTTGGAGAAAGGCTTTTCCCAGTAAGTTGCTAACTTGGTCTCTTGTGTGTCGAGCCCAGTCTCTCCTCCGGGAAGGTTAAAAGTTTCCTTATTGGTCCAAAGAACAGAATCATAGGAAAATGTCTCCTAAATCCATAGCATCCACAACATACAGAGGAATAGCAGTTAGTATCTTTTTGACTGAAAATACAGTACACATACATATGCAAGCTAGTTATAATTAAAAAGCCTTTTACCAAAGAATTATCATCCTTTGACTGTTGTACAACTTAAAACAAGAGAACAGCTGAGAAATCAAAGTAGTTTTCCCACAATGAAATTAATGCTCGGCTCTTCATTTTTAATGGAAAGCATAACTTTTTTCGTTCATCATTCAAATCAGAAGCAAGAAATAACCGTTTTACAGAATGCCTAATGTTGTAAATTTAACTTCCGTTTCTATGATACCTTAAATCAAAATGATTAGTGAATGTACTGAGATCTCCCTGATAAAAGATGCTGCACTTAAAGAACCTGTGAAGTATGGTTCTGTGCTAAAATGTGAACAAAGAAATGGGTGAAACGATAGGCATTTTTTTCAAGCTCCTTCCCTCGAAAAATAGATAAAAAAAATAACGATACAAGCTCAACACAGTAGATAAATGACACTTAATTGAGAAAAAAAATAAAAAAAATGGAATAATGAATATACGAGTGGATAGTATTATAAGTACATGAAGATAAACCGAAGAAAAGTAAAGAAAATAAAAAACACGAAAACGGTTTGCACCTTAGCACCGTCCATCTTCATGACCAGTGTCCATCCACCGGAATCGCATTCCCCAAGATCTTCAACTATATA